CTTGTAGACAGAGAAAACTAGATGTGAAAAGGGAGTAAGTGATTTCCTGAAAATCCACAGAACTTTGCAAGCCATAATTAGAAGCAACTTCTGACTTCCAGTGTTCAGATTACACCTATCAGTTAAGTATGACATTTTAGTTACATCCATCAAATGGCTATAAAAGCATGGTTAAGAAATTAAAATTAAATATTTTACCCTCAAAACCACATTTGCTTCTTCTCTTGGATAATAAAAAAAGATTTAAAACATAAGATTTCTATAGCCATTTTTGTTTATAGTTTCATTCATTGTGTAATAGACTATTAACACTTTGTACCAATATTCAGGAGCAATATATTACTACTATCCTCCGGGGGACAATATTATGCTCTTCATCAGTAGAGTAACTCAACAAATGTATTCCATTACAAACAAATTTTAGCACTAGCTCTTATTAGTGATTGTACAGAAAACCTCCCAAACTTCAACTGAGTGTAACCAATGTAGTCATTGCAAACAGCCTGAAAAAATGGCTTTAAGAGGTGTGAACTTGCTTTCAAAGAGGTGTTGACCCTGAAACTTAATGATGCCAACTTAAATGTCAATAGTGTTAACTATTTCATTGCTGAACATTTTAGCAGAAACATTCCTCACCATAGTAAACCAACCTAAGGCTTCTCCAGGTGCTAAAAGCCCCAAACTGTCCCCTACCTGGTACCAATTCCTCTAGCTTGACTTCCTCCTCCAATAAATTCTACAGTGAAGATACTGTATGCATTTTCAAGACTGCTCTTCAGTAAACTGAGAATTAAAAATGTTGGGGCACCATAAAATTAAACTTAATACCAAATTTGATTAACAGAGTACTTTTTTGGTTGTGTTTTTCATTTTCATATTTAAATCAATTAAAAATGCTTCATTTTTAAAACTTTATCTGAAGCTGTCACAGAACTTCCAACCTCACACACCACAGAACCCAGGCCCTTTAACACAGAATTTAGGTCAATGTTGCTGTGATGTATGGGGCCTTGAGTAAGTGCTATGTAATACCAGGTGGGTTCCTAAGGTTTTTTGTTGTTCTTTACTTCCACACTCTAAGTTAAAGGAGACTGTTTATATCAGAGATGACTTACTTGGAAGGAAAGGAGAAGCCTTACCACACTACTCTTACAAAATTCATTGCTGGTCAAATTCACACAGAGGCTTCCCCAATTTAACTGCTATAAAGGAGAGACCATGTGTTGAAGAGATGCAATGTAAGATAAGTGGGAAAACCAGCTCTCAGAATGAAAAGGATTAACTACTCCTCCTAAAATGCTAGGAGAGCACCAAGAAGAGAAGACAATCCCAACAAAAATGCTGACAGACATTTCAATTTTTCCAAGGACAGTCCTGACTTCTCCAGATCTGTCCTCCCAACAATTACATTAGTTCTGTCTAGTGCTCTCCTGCTTCCCCTTTGAGTGCAGCCAGAATACTCAATTACAATGCATGCACCTTGACAAGTTTTTTTAAACAGAATATTAAGGTCTTCTTTCCGATAAACAATATTTTAGTTAAGAAACTGCATTCTCATCTCCTGTGGAAATTAACCTCCCTGCAACATTCTGCCATATTTTAATGCCTCTAGTTTGTGACTTTTGATGATATTCAAGGTTATAACTTAAAAGTCATAGAATGTATTTCATTTTTAAGTGGTGCTTATTTTTGCAGGGCTGCCAGATTTACAATGCCAAAAGCCAGGGCAGTATATCATAAACTTAAAGGAGCTTCAAAATAATTTTGAACTGGACATTTCTATTCCATGAGGAAGGCTGTTGTGGTTCACTGTGTTATCGGTAAAAAAACCAGAGCAGCAAATGAATAATTAAATAATTTTGGCTGCAAATGTATTTAAAAACATATTGGGCTAGGTCTTTGTGTTCTTACCCTAGCTTTCTTTCTAGATTAATTTAACAGCCCTAGCAAAAATACACAAGCTCTTCATGGATCAGCTGTGATATTAGCACATCCCAGTATTATTGTGAGCCAAGGTATATCACTAAAGCACCTATTATTCACAACTCAATGACTACATAATTCCCCCCTCAAATGTTTCCACAAAGTTATCCACACACAAAACACATGGAGGATCAGATGTAACTCTGAAGGAAAGGAAAGAAGAAATATGTGCTACCGTCTCATTTTCTGAGAGAGCAGTGCAGAGGGGAATTTTTCAGTAGCTTCGATGTGAAAGGAAGTGCCATTCGCACAAGCCTGCTCTTGCTCTACCATTGCTTGCCTATCCCCATATGGAGTACATCTAGGTATCTCATTCCTATCTTCTACCTGTTGCATTTATACTCTAGGGATGCAAGACATCAACTCCCTCTCTCTTTCAGACATGAGAGTGTACAGAGTAAATAGAGGCCTACAGGATAGCGCTCCTGTTCGCTTGCTCCCTGACCTCAAGCACTCCCAATGGCCGCATTTGAAAAAAATATATTTTTAAAGTATCAAATGCAAGCATGTTGTGGAAGCCAGCTTCAAATTAACTTCCCTTCACTATGGAAAACTATAGGCCATGGGCACAATTTCCTGCCACATAAATAGGCCTGAAGTGGCTGCAGATATCTATGGGCCCTGAGTATCTAATAACTCACAAGCAGTGAAGCTACCAGTCAATTATTTTGGCTTTACAGATGTAAAATTTACCCACCTATCCCACAGAATTGAAAATGAAGGATGAAAAGAAGCATGGGGCATACTAATTAGCTATCAATAGTTCCACTCCTTTGTTCTTACCTTATATCCCACAGAGCCAGAGGGAGGAGGAGAAATTTTTCTAACAAACGCAGATGGTATTTCCCTCCACTGCTCCTGGTTTTGTTTTATTATTCTCTCAGTTTTCACCATCAAACCACAAAACAATCATCATCTCTTTGCCCTAGTGACAAACATGGCATCAAAATACTGAGAGCCAGGTCACCCGATGGTGTAAATCAGCTCTATTAACCGAGCTAAGTCAAATAAACCTGCTGAAGATCTGGCCCCTTTAGGTCTACAATTTGTCTGTAGTTACGCATATGCATGTCTCACTGAAGCGAAGAGAGATTGTGTGCATGTAACTGAAGAAAGAATCCCTTAGATCCCCACAGTAAATTAGCAGACCAGACTATGGTCTAATAAGAGCATCTTGTTTACTATGAAGTAATACTGCATGCTTTTGAATGCTCAAAATGAACAAGATGAAGACCAGCTAAGATTTATTTTGGCAGGTCCTGTAACTTAAAAAAGGAAGTCAGACATGTTTGAAAATTTACTTCATACGATGAATTTCTCTATTGCTGAAAGCAAGTTGATAACTTCATAAATTGTTTTCTTTACAAATTTCTAGGTTGACGCTTTAATAAATAATCTAACACACTCAGAATCCAGTCTATAATAGCTATTGAATTTAGAGCACAGTGTTTTTTTTTTTTTTCCTGTTTGCCCCTCAGCAGAAACTTTTATGTATTTCATTACTATGAAATTCTCAGGAAAGATTTATAATGGATTAGTTATGACAGGATGCCACTTGGAATTTGAAAACATTTAAATGAAGAAGCAAAAAGAGATGGCTCAATATAAAACCCTATATTTGAATCCCCTGAGTTTTAGGGATCTTGATAAAATGGAACTTGGACATAAACCATCCCACAGCTTTACAAAACCAAAACTGAACCAATGATGTTTGAAAAACTTAAACCAGCTCAATCCAGTTTTTCGAAACTCCATCTGAAAGAGAATCATTTATTGGAACCCTACACATTTTGGAGCTTCAGATAAATGGGACCAAAATTCTGAACTTCTTCAGATCTGGGTTCTAATATTATAAAACCAGGACATGGCCTACAATTTATAAACAAAATCACCCAGTTGTGCCGTGTCCCTCTCATTTATATTTTGCTTAAGATGTGACTGCCTCTGAAATGTTTCAAGTTGTACCTGCTGAGAGTAACAGACCTTACTGCTTAAAGATGTATTACTATGTATTTTCTTGAATAACTGTATGTAAAGAGATTACGAAGCAACTCTATCAGCTTAATGCACTTCATGGCAAGATTCAAGATGACCCAATGCTCATGCAAACTGCAACAGAGCTGTATACAGAGAACTCTAGACTCAATTTGCTGATACCAAGAATTTCATGTTGAAAGTCTGTTAAATTATAGTACTATATTGTATCTCGCAGAGAAAGAGTGAAGAACTAAAATAGCAAATCACCTAGCACAAACAAGAAAGAAAAAGTTTAGACTAGCTAACCTTTTGAACTTGCATATCGATGATATACTTTAATGGTGCTGAATACAATACAAATTAGAATGGTACTGACAAAAAAAATCAAACTTTTTAAGCAGCATGGCTGGAGGGGTAGACTAAACAAAGGAACACACAAAAGTAATAAAATTATCTTTGCCGATCTGTGTCCAGCCTGGGGTGGTACTGGCAGGGACTTAGTAGGTGTCCTGCTTAAAGAGTGCACAAAATAAGCATTTGTGTTTTTAAAGTATGCAGGTGTTAGCACAAAGCGAAGCTGTGACATTCATTTTGTGATCCAGTCGTGGACATTTCAGATTAAATACAGCAATTTACAATTTCATTATTTTTTTAAAATGAGAGGGAGAAGGCTTATGTGTAAAATAAATAGAGCTTATTCTAGGAATAATAAAAGTGAGCAATGGGAACTCATCGAAACCTTTAATTTATATGGCTTAAATTGTAGAAAGTGGGGTACATAATAGACAATTATGATGGTAATGGAAGATAGTAGTGAAAATATATATAACTGTCAATTTAAAAGGAAATAATAAATACTGAATCTTACATATCAGGCAAAACTACCAAGTTTAATAAGAAAGCAGCTGTATGCCATTCACAACACTGAATAATTTAGCAGAGGCCTACTGGATATATGGTATTGCTTATTTCAAAATTGTCTTTTCCTTATTTTTTCTGCTTCTTAATTAAGGTAATGAATAATAGCTTAACAAACTCACAAGTGGAGTATCTTTTCCTCCTACAATGCTGAGACCAAGGCCTGATCGCCCCTTGGATATTTCTATAGTCATCTCTTGCCCTGGAACAATTGGGCATGTGGCTGGATCCACTGGCAACAGAGGAGGCAGTACATTGCCTAAAAACATTAAAAGAAAAAGAAATTAGTCAGCAATATTAAATGCGCATATAATTGATCTAATAAGGATGCACATTAGTAATTAAAGAGCAAAAAATTTGTTCAATATCCCTATACAGTCATGTAGGAGGAATACTGTAAAGACAACCTAAAATCTGAGCTTAGAACTATTAGAATCTGGTGTGAAATTGACTTCAGAATTGAGATGTGACTTGTGTGATTTTGATCAGTATGACAAAACATTTAGATGTGACAACGCAGTGTCATGGCAGTGAAACACGGGATTTTTCAGGCTTACATTCAGGATTTTTAAAAATCAACTTGTCATTTAGAACTAGACGTGGTTCATATGCACTGTTGCAACACTTTTGTTCTGCAGCTGCAAAGGGCAACTATCCAAAAGCAAAAGTGGCCCAAGATATTTGTGTCACAAGAGCACTTCTGATATTACTAATGACCATCCTTTTGACAAACAAAAACTAAACAATCTATGATCAAGTTCTTGTAGTTATTATTAATTATTATTATTATTAAAATGGAGAAAAAACCCTACTGTTTACCAATGGAACAGGAAATCAATATGGAAAGAAAAATTCCTTCAAACTTTTAAAAGAGTACTAAATAATGGGGAAAATGTTTCAAACCATTTTATATTAAAAAAATTGTTACATTGTTGTAAGCAAGACATGAAAAGTAATTCTTCTGCTCTACTCTGTGCTGATTAGGCCTCAACTGGAGTATTGTGTCCAGTTCTGGGTGCCACATTTCAGGAAGGATGTGGACAAATTGGAGAGAGTCCAGAGAAGAGCAACAAAAATGATTAAAGGTCTAGAAAACATGGCTTATGAGGGAAGATTGAAAAAATTGCGTTTGTTTAGTCTGGAAAAGAGAAAACTGAGGGGGGCGGGCATAACAGTTTTCAAGTACGTAAAAGGTTGTTACAAGGAAGAGGGAGAAAATTTTTTCTTCTTAACCTCTGAGGATAGGACAAGAAGCAATGGGCTTAAATTGCAGCAAGGGAGGTTTAGGTTGGACATTAGGAAAAACTTCCTAACTGTCAGGGTGGTTAAGCACTGGAATAAATTGCCTAGGGAGATTGTTGAATCTCCATCATTGGATATTTTTAAGAGCAGGTTAGACAAACACCTGTCAGGAATAGTCTAGATCAGTGGTTCTCAAAGCCGGTCCGCCGCTTGTTCAGGGAAAGCCCCTGGCGGGCCGAGCCAGTTTGTTTACCTGCCACGTCTGCAGGTTCAGCCGATCACAGCTCCACTGGCCGCGGTTCGCTGCTCCAGGCCAATGGGGGCTGCGGGAAGGCTGGCCAGCACATCCCTCGGCCTGCGCTGCTTCCTGCAGCCCCCATTGGCATAGAGCAGTGAACCGTGGCCAGTGGGAGCCGCGATCGGCCGAACCTGCGGTCGCGGCAGGTAAACAAACCGGCCCGGCCCGCCAGGGGCTTTCCCTGAACAAGCGGCAGACCGGCTTTGAGAACCACTGGTCTAGATAATACTTAGTCCTGCCATGAGTGCAGAGGACTGGACTAGATGAACTCTTGAGGTCCCTTCCAGTCCTATGATTCTATGATTGACCCTTTGGAACATTAAAATAAAAAGAACAAAGCAAAACGTGTCTAAGAAGGACTCAAACAATCCCAGTTATAGGAGAATATTATAACTCATTTTGACAGTACTTGCTATGATACTACTGGGATAACTTTGCCATTAATGTAAGCTATCTGGCAGAAAGAAATGATTGGGTCTCACTATGGCTGGTGAACTCTGCCTCTGGAGAAAGATAAGAAGGTGTTGGTGCCAAAGATATCTCATGTAAACTGGTGGGTGCTTTGGTTGAAGACTTTGATTGTTTTAACTGATTGAGGACCTAAAAGAAAGGAAAGGAGAAATCAAAATAGTTCAATTGTTAAAATAAAAAAATACAAAGGCAGCATGTGTTGTTCTGAAATCAACAGTAGCTATCGATTAAAGCACAGTATGGAGATCTTTACATTAATTGGACTGGCAATAGAAAATTCAGTTTAAAAATATTTAATATTTTAAAAAGAGCCAAGTTGGGTAGGTTTGATACTGTGAATCCAGAAATGCCTGCAAAGAAAGTCTGATGGAATTTCATTTGGTATAAGAGACTTATCTGAGAGACAACATTCTGAATTTTTAAAAACAGGAAACTGTATTCTTAACACAGTTTTGCCATGACTATTTCTACATATTTAAAGAGAAGGATATTTTTAAACCATTCAGTGTTCAAAGAATAATTAGTTCAATCTCTTCTCAGTTATAGAAGAGCCCTGGTAGCGTAAATTGTGATACAACAAAAATTTCTTCAATTGAACTTTCCTCCCCCAACCTCACCCTCACATACAAACACACATACATTTTCTGGAAGTTGCTCCACCAAATCCTGCTGATCTACCATCAACATCTGTTTGTCAGCTTTGTTTCTGACATCCTAAACAGGGAAAAGGGTAACTTTATCAAAAAAAAATAAGAAGTCACATCAGCTTCAACTTTCATTTAAATTAAATTTCTTCAAAACCAGAGAAATCAAGCCTCTGATTCTGTAATGTGATACTATTTACACACGACACACAATTACACTATGGAACTCTTTGCTACTTCATGATGCTGAAGCCAAGAATTTAGCAGGATTGAAGGAAGAACTGGACATTTACATGTAAAACAAGATTATCCAGGGCTATAAATACTTCATTTAGCAAAAAGAACTGGAGTACTTGTGGCATCTTAGAGATTAACAAGTTGCCACAAGTACTCCTGTTCTTTTTGCGGATACAGACTAACATGGCTGCTACTCTGAAACCTATTAATTTAGATGCAATATAGAGGTTAGGAGGAGACTCCTGGGGAGGTTGGGAGGGGAAGCAAAAGGGGGTGAAATTATGCCACATCTGTCTATTGTGGGGTCTCTTGCACCTTCCTCTAAAGCTTCTGGTACTAGCCTCTGTGGGAGACAGGTTACTGGATTAGATGCGCCATGTGTCTGGCAATTCACATGTTCCTATGTACCTAAGAAATTAGAGTTGGGTATGTGTCTAACTTTAAGCATATTGAGTAGTCCCATGGGATCAGGAGTGCCGCCAGCTTTTCTGCCGCCCTAGGCGGCGGAAGGTCCTGCCCCGAAATGCTGCCCCCCACAGAGGCGGTGAAAGGTCCCGCCGCCGAAACACCGCCGTGGTCGACGCCCCCCAAATTGTAGTGCCCTAGGCGACTGCCTAGGTCGCCTAATGGGTTGCGCTGGCCCTGCATGGGATCTTGCTGAATTGGGCCTACAAATAAGAGAGAACTAAACAGTGATCTAATCCATCTCTCCCTTGCCAGTGCAAGATTATTCTCCACAACAAAATAAATACTAATAATGTTTCACTCAGTCGTGTTATAAATATCTCAAACAAAGGTGCTTCAATCTCTTTCCAGACACAAATAGATCTCACTGTCAGGAGAGTTTCCTTAATATTCTGTCTAAATTCTTCTAACCTACATTTCATCCCACTACTTCTAGTTTTATCTCCTTGTAATATCCTAAAGAATTCCTGTCCTTTTTTGGCGTATACCCTCTTCAAATGTTTCCAGACAGTCATGACAGTTCTTCATTGTCTCTTAGCCAAGCTACATAAACTTATGCCAACTTGGGTAACTAAACACAGCTATTTATATCCATGTTAAAGCACCTACATAAGCAGCTTGATGTTCAGAAATGCTGGGCATTGACTTCAAAGGATATTATTGGTACTCAGCACCAGTGAGAAAAATCAGGACACTTATTAAGGTGCCTAAATATGGGTTTGAGTGCCTAATTTTAAGTACCCACATTTGAAAAATACTGGCCCTGTCTCATAAAAATTAATCATCTAAGGGTAAGAAAAACAGTAGGAGACCTCTGCAACTGTAAAAGAAATATATTAAATTATTTTAAAGTTTTCCTTTAAAGTCTGCATAGATAGCAGGAAGACAAGATAGAGAAAGTGGTGATTACTCTATTACCAGACATGGCGAAGGAAAAAATATGTAAGGAAAGATTACAGATGTTGCTTTCTAAGGGATTATTCTAATGAACAGTGGGGAATTATTTCATTTGCTCCATCATTCATTCTTCTTCTTCTTCATTATTCATTTTGCTTTATGGGATTCAAAAAGTGAAACTACATCTCACATGTATCAAAGTCTTTGCACATTAAGAAGTTATTTTATTACTCTTAGCTTCAAATTCATATTAACAGACATTAACTTGTTGAAAAACACAAGGGTTATTGTGAATCTATCCCTGAAAATTTCTCAAATGCTTTGTGCTCAGCAAGGGTTTAATCCCCTCAAATGTACCAGAAACCACTTTATGAAATCCCTCGGTTACACATTGGGTGCAACAAGAACACAGCTTTCAGCTGCATAAAAACAGATCAATGTTCCATGTTCAGATATCTTGAATACAATGCTGTTTAACATTAATTTAATTATCCTTTCTATTTACATGATGTAGCAATGCATGCCCCACATACATCAAGAATGCAAGCTGCTTGATGAGCACCCTCAGTTATCACTCAAACCATTTTCATCTCAGTCAAGATCCAAATTGTGAAAGAATCGCTTTATGGATTTAAAAAAAATTCCATTCTTTTTCTATGACCCTTCATAGGAATCAGCATAGCCAGATCCTCAGAAAAACATCAAAGCATTCTGTCAGCTAACCTCAACTACCCCGTTAGCACTGTATTTAGTTGGTAGCACTTTCATTGATCCCAGCTGAGAAATAAGTTCCCTTCTTTCCCCCCCTCTATCCAAACAGGTCCATGATTAATTCAGTTATGTAACTTTGCACTTCTACAAGTGATGAACTGGCAGCATAGAGTGTCCCGGGGCAGCCTAACAAATTTACCAAGAGTTAATGGACACAGTGAGTTGAATCACTTTATGGCTTTCATCACTTGGTTGGACGTGTCACCCATGCTGTGGAAAACGCAAGTCCGCTGGAAGTCACTCTTAAAACTCTCATGTCAAAAACATCCTGAGCTGTTTACATTCTTAGAACCTCCGAACATAAATGAAAACATTCTGCACTCAGTCAGCTGGTACAATCAAGAATGTCTGGTGTCATGGTGCAGCTTTCAGCTGGACTCATTTGAGAGAGAATTTTGCATATAAGTTCGTATTTTTTGTCATAAATTTACAAATAAGGTAAACACTCGTGGTGACGTGACTCTATGGGCAATAGGGGAAATATTATGCTCTCAGCAATAGGACATCTTTTTCCTTTGGCCTTGACAGTCACCAAGAGACTGGCAGCAGGAATCTCTGTTTATCTTCTCATCTAAAGAATGAGTCATTGAGCACAGACCTGCAATGTTAGCAAAGAGCAAAAAGTTCAAGTAGCAGTATGGGCCTTGAACACATAACTTTCTGGCTCGGAGGAAAGCAACAACTGTTAAGCCACTTATAAAAATGAGTATTTATATAGCCAATATTATTGAAATCTCCAACACCCTTTATCAACTCCACATTCTAGAGTTATTTACCATGATTCACCAAGCAATTTTCAAAATTTGGATTTTGATAAAGATCTTACACAGCTTACTTTCCACCCGGTCGCCACTATTTTTACAGCCTATTCTGTCCCTAGCTCCAGGGTCAGTATCATCTGAAACCACCAGGATGTTCCTGGTTAACCTAATAGCACTATATCCATCCTCCAAATCCATCTCCCTGTCCCTAACCTTTCACCTTCTCTTCAGTTTGACAACTCCATAGATAGGTTAGATAGATAGACAGATGGATAGATGATACTGACTCTGGAGTGACTGGATTTACATTGGGGTGAGTTTAGACCAGGGGTCGGCAACGTTTGGCACGCGGCTCGCCAGGGTAAGCACCCTGGTGGGTCGGGCCAGTTTTATTTACCTGCTGACGCGGCAGGTTCGGCCGATCGCGGCCCCCACTGGCCGCGGATCGCCGTCCCAGGCCAATGGGGACGGCGGGAAGCCGTGGCCAGCACATCGCTTGCCTGGCGAGCCGCGTGCCAAACGTTGCCGACCCCTGGTTTAGACCATTGAGTGTAAGGTCATTACTGATAGACTCAATGGTCTAAACTCACCCCAACGTAAATCCAGTCACTTCAGTGGATGTACACCAACATATACAGGAACAAGACTACATTGCCTAGTGGACAGAGCACTAGACTGGAACTCTGGAGATCTGGGTTCTAATCCTGGCTCTGGCAAGTCAATTCACTGCTCTGTGCCTCAGTTTCCCCATCTGTAAAATGGCAATAATGATACTGAGCTCCATTGTACAGTGCTTTGAGATCTGTGATAAAAAGTGGTATATAAGAGCTAGGTATTATTATTATAAAAACAATCTTATCTTTCCCCTAAATTCTTCTCTTCTTGCTCTCTGTCATTGTTGACACACGAACATCCTTCCCGTCTGATAATGATATGATAATCTGAGTATCATATTGATGCCTTCTTTCCCCAAATCTTTCCATTGTTCTCTTTGGACTCTTTCCCTCATTCATCCATTCCTGTCCACCCCTACTGTCAATGACTTAGTTCATGCTTTCATAACTTCCTGTCTTAATTACTACAACCTCGTCCTCACTGGTTTCCCCAATTCCCAACTTTTCTGCTCCATTACATCCAAAATGCAGCTGCCAACATAATCTTCCTTTCCCATTGCTCCAGCCACATCTTCCTCCTCGCTCCTTTTTTGGATCTCTGAAATAGCTTCCACTCTTCTACATTAAACTCATGCTTCACCTCCTAATTTTCAAAGAATTCCAAAATGCCACCCCCAACTACATCTCTTGCCCTCATCTCCTGCACTGTAATCCACTCCGTAATATCTGCCCAAGCTTTTCTCCTAACTGTTCTTTGTCTCTTTCACCCACTTCAGACTGTGTGTATTTTTTTCATATTAATTTGTATCTCAGTTTCCCAGCTGCAGTATGCCAAATAAGGCAGGTAGAGTAACAAAAATTTGCATTTACAGTTAGAATTCATGCATTAAAACTCCAGTTCATTCGTATTCAAGCCCATTAACATTGCAGAACTTCTGGGGTGGTTTGGACAATTCAAATGCACAAATTCAACCCAGGAGTGCTTTGTCAATCAGGAATACAAACAAACCAATGTTAGCTCGGTGGCTGATTTCAATGCTCAAATACTATATCAACTTCTGGTTCTTTGCAAAAACTCAGTGGAGTTCCAAGTATTTGTTTGTAATGTTCAAATATTTTCAAAAAACAAATAGGTTTGCAAAAACCAAAGACTTTGTGAAGCAAAAGAAAAACAACTCCCCCAAAACAAACAAAAAAGCCATTCCTTCAATGAAAATACCTTACATAGATTATGCATAAATAGCATGTCTCAATTAATGCACTACCTGAAGAACTATACTAAACTGTTGTGTGGGGTGGATGGTTGGGAGGCAGATAAAATGATTGTCCCAAGAAATTTTATGTTTCTGTGGGTTAGTCACTCCTCAGCATACTTAGGATTTCTCTATTTTAACCTCTAACAGAGACTTAAAAGAAGATTAAGGCACAACCCCAGGAATTCTAGATTTCTGATAACCCACAATCCTAACACATTAAACAACCACCACCATGTATCAATGCAGAGTTTGATATTTATTACAGCACACACTGACAGAGCCACATTAAACCAGAAGTTATGGATTTGATGCAGAAATTCTATAGCCTGTGTTATGCAGAGGGACAGACTAGATGATGATAATGATCCTTTTGATTTTAAAAATCTATGAAGCTAGGATATAAATATGAGTGTGATTTACAGCCACAAGCTTTTTTCTGGGGCATGGAAGATATTGTCGACAAAAGTAGATGTGAACTCCTTGTTGCTGGGTATAGCTCAAGAGAAGGACCAGGGAGTTGCATGCAACTGCTGTACCTCAATATAGAACAAACTGTATTTACATCTCAATCATATGAACAGGTGTAGGAAATCATACACCTGATTTTCCTCTCGCTTAGATAAATCAGGAGTTACTCACTAAAACTCAATTGTACTACAATAGCGTGAAAACAGAATGAGGCCCTGTGATGCTGGCAGACCAGGCACCAGATCATGCCAAAGTCCCCATGTCTCCGCTGAACTCTGATATATACATAGCTGAAATCTGTCTGGCTCACTTGTGGGTTAATACTGATAGGATAGGTATTAGAATTATAAGAAAGTGTTTGGATTCTATTGAATGCTTGTGAGTTGCTGTGTTCATTAATCTGACTTGTAATATCTGCGTTCCATATTGCAATGTAATATTTGAAGGGATGTATTACAAGCCTCTATGACTGCATGAATCACCATACAGGAGAGGGCCATTAATTAGTGTGAAGAGAGAGGCTCCTTATACACCCATCCGGAAAGAGGAAACCTGTTGATACCAGACTGGCCATGGTTGGAGCTTACAACTGGCAACTCCCTACATCTGGATTGAGGAATCATCAACAAGAGTACTAAAGCAGGGGTTCTCAAACTGGGGGTCAGGACCCCTCAGGGGGTTGCAAGCTGTCAGCCTCCATCCCAAACCCCGCTTTGCCTCCAGCATTTATAATGGTGTTAAATATATAAACACGTGTTTTTAATGTATAATGAGGGGTCGCACTCAGAGGCTTGCTATGTGAAAGGGGTCTCCAGTACAATAGTTTGAGAAACACTGTACTAAAGGCTCTTAGAGTTGTTCTGCAACCCTTCTCCTACCCCCCTCCCCAGGGGGGAGAGAAGTCCACTTGCATGACTTATTTTCATCAACTGAGTTTGCAACTGAGAGCATATGGCAGGAGGGGGATAAAAACACCAAACAAAAGGAACTAAGGATCTCTGTGTTGGAGGGATTTTGGAAGAGCAAGGAGTTTCTTAGGCATAAGAAAGAGATCCCCATCTGCTTATTCTGGGTTATCCCTAAAGGACAAATTGAGCTTGCTGGTTATAGAAGCCTCTATTACCACTTAAAACCTAACTAATTCATGTGTCTATATTCACTTGCTTTAACCATGTAAATAACTAGCTTCCTTTTCCTATTTAATACATCTCCATATAATTTATTATAGGAATGGCTACAAGCGTTGTCTTCCATGTGAGATCCAAGGTATTGGGAAAGTGACTGGTACTTTGAGACTAGGAGTAAAATGAATATTGCTGTGATCCTTGGGTTTAAGGGCCATCTATCACAAAGATACCTCACCTGGGTGACAAGACAGACCAGAGTATCAAAGGGAAATGTCTGTGATTTTGTTTTAGGCTGTTAATACACTTGAGGAGTTTGCACTTAATGCAGCTGGTTGGTGAAATCTAAGTTTAGGACTCATGACCAATCTGGGGTTTGTGCCCTAGTGTTTTAACAGTCTGCCCTGAGGTTGGTACTCGTGCTCTTGAACCACAGTTGGGAGTGTCCCAAACCCATTATGTTAGCACTTTTCAAGCTTTGAATTTTGTGGAGGACTAAACACATTTCTTTAAAGATAGTGATACTTACCATTTTGATACATTCATCATCAGTCAAGCTTTTCATGACAACTTCTGAGCTGCAATCTTCTTCACTGCTTGCATGTTCAGTGCCACTGTGATCCTGGTAAAGAGATTGTTTTAAAAAACAAAACACAATGTTACCCCTAAATAGCTCATGATAAAATTAGACAGCATTTATTTGATCTGATGCTTGTTTGAAATAAGGAAGAAGATCCACAATGAACCATGACTGATTAAAATCAGTGTTACAAGTTTCAGAAGGCAAGTGCTGGTCTTTATTGGTCGAGGATCAATTTACATTAGGACGACCTCTTCTTACACATCACTCCATGAATATTGAAATCAGCACTTAGGGGACAACTATTCTGACCCTACTGAGGATGCAGCTTATGAACCAGGAGGAAAAGGTGTTTTACTGAATGGTGTTCAGCTATGGAACTCCCTTCTGCAATAGGTGAAGATGAGCACGTTTTACCTCCTTTAGAGCACATGCAACACACACCCTTTGCACAATAGAGGCAGTAATATGACAGATGAGGAGGTTTCTTCCTTCTTTAGAGGTCTCACACCAAGAAGAGGCAATGGAACATACAACGCTACCATAGTTGAAGCAGAGAAAATGGTCTTACCAAAATAATGCTGAAACTTAATTTTTGTATTTGGTGCATAGATACCATGGTGACTTGTGCTTTCCACATATATGCAGAGAGCATAATCATGACTGGAAAATGATGCAGCACATGCTTAAGAAAGGGCTATTGTATTTAAAAAAAACATTCCAAACCAAGAGTATAGAAGTAGAAACTTTAGCCTCTTTTCTTTCCCTAGCAAACATGTGATATGTTTTTACCTGAGAATTTTATTCCTTTTACCCAGCTCCTGAAGACGAAGGCTGTTTTTAGGGCTAGTTCTCTCTCTCTCTTTTTTTTTTTAATCGTTCAAATGAATTCAACTCATTGCTCTACATCCCAAGCGCACTCTTCCTTACAAAGCAAAATTAACTATATATTACCAATCCAATTTCCTGCAAAGATCTTCACTAGCAGACTTCTTTACCAGGCTATTCTAAATTCTTGTTAGGCATTGAACAGGTAAAATGGGAATTATGCAAATAGCCGTCTTGCCATCTGAAGAGGTAATCTACTTCTCTCCATTCTTTAGGAGGCTCAGTCCATTCAATATTCACAAACAATGCCTCATCCCAGTTACAAAACATTATGTAAGAGGTGGCTTTATGATATATTAAGGTTCTTGCAAACAGAGCTTCTATTAGACTTATACACTATATTTTGGTTTAACTAGCTCATTTTGTACCAGTACTAAGTCTATTGTGGTCCTGTCCTATGGTTTCACAGAAATAAACATGTCCCCATGTTATAGGAATGTTTGCTAGTCAGCCATTTTTCTCATTAAACTACTTCAACCAAAATGAAGAGATCAACATTAATTCTGTTTAGTAATAGTATTTTGTATTTATGTAGGCATCATGACATACTGCTAAATTATTACCTCACCCACCTTGTCTCTCCAGGCCTGTTTTATAAGATACAACAATTCTTATGCAAACTACAAGCCACACATATTGTTAAACTTCTACTTAGTCTCTCCTCTGAAAGTACATAATATGGTCTACATTTTAAGATATGAACAATTAATTTACAGCAAAAAATGTAATATAAAACCCTACATAATTATGACAACCATTTGAAGTATTTTTTAAAGTGGTGTCAAATGTCTGATGGATAGCCCTAGAAATCAAAATCCTGCATTTAGCCACAAAATATGTAAAAAAAAAAAGTCCCTTCACTGCACGTAACTTTACCCATCTATTGGGTCTACCTTTAAGGGTCAAATAGCAAAAGGGACAGAATTCTTTGGTTCCTGCATAGTGGTAGATTTTGGTGATATGAACACTTGACCATGGCAACCTGGAGTGAGACTACCAAACAGAGTTCCATGGGATGTGGCACAACTATCACATGAAAACAACTTCTAGTCTGATGACTTAAATTAGATTGTAAATGGAAAACTAGAGGTAGAAGGCTCTATACCTATCACCAGTTCCTGAGCTATTCAACCACTCAAATAAAATGACAAACCTTTCCCTCTCTCCCCCAAATGTACATTTGCACAAAGCTGCTTCAAAATTTATATTGCCTTTCAGTGAAGGTTTTTAAACATGCAGCTCCACAGGAATGAACCCTTCAAGGGCAGGGTAACAGGTAATACCATGAGGGTGCAAGAACACAGCAGCTGAAGTTACTACTTGTCTTACCTTTACTATTTACCAACATGAGAAGGGAGGCGTTCTAGATATAGTGTAGGGGGCAACAGCAGCTACTGAGGTCATCACAAAATGACCAAGAAAACTTTAAAGTGAACTTAAAGGCTTGGTCCATAGAAACCGCAGACGAACAAGGATTCTGGCCGCATGGACCAGGACCCAAAGGAGCATGAAGCATCAGTTCAAAAGGCAATATTCTTATTTTACAAAATAGATAAATGAAACCCAGGGTTTTAATTGAAGAGTTCCCCTGAAACAAAAGCTAATTAATGTGGCTTTTCTGTACCGCATAATAGCACCTGAATTGCATCATGGATGTACAATAAATGGCCTTAAATGTTACCGTAACTTGAAAACTGCAAAAAGCATGCTCCGGAAGTTCCATCTAACATTGCAAAGCATGAGCTAAGGCTGCATGATTGTAATAATGCTTATTAAAATATCAAAAAGCAAATGTACCAATGATCAGAATTTAACAATTCAAGGCTAGACCAAGCCCCAATTGACTCATAAAACCTGCTTTGCTTTATTAGCTCAAGAAGATATAGAATTAATAAGCAGCAGCAAGGTTAGCCATGTGCTATATCTACAAATAAGTACCATATTTCTCAGTTATATTATTATGATGAGACATCAAATCGATAACGATGTGGTAACATTCCAGATTGCATTGTGTAGTAAGCACACTGCATTCATAAAGCTCAAAAGGATAAAAAGAGTCGCATTAGGGCTGATGCAACAACCATAATATAGAACAGCACTGTCACACTGAGGAAGCTCTTACTGTTGGAGGAGAACAAATAGAAACATCCATATGCTTTTAGTTGCTAAGATGCATATTATGATACTCTACACTAAAACTCCATGTTAATACGTCAGATATAGTAACATACTGTCATTTCCACTACAGAAATGTAGTATATAGCATGGCTGTAAATCGTATACATAGTCTAATAGCTAGGTCACAGGACTGGGAATCAGGAGACCTGGGTTCTATTCCTGGTCATGCCAAACAGACAAGTTATTTCACCGTGCCTGTTTCCCCTTACACCCTTGAGTATCTTGGCTATCTAGATTGAAAGCTTTTAGGAGCTGGGATGATCTTTCACCATGTAACTGTATGATGCTCAGTGCAACAGGGCCCTCAATCATTGTTGGGACCTACCTCTCTACTGTAATGCAAATAATAAATATGGAAATAGTTCTATTGCAGGGGTCGGCAACATTTGGCACGCGGCTCACCAGCACCCTGGCGGGCCGGGCCAGTTTATTTACCTGCTGACGCGGCAGGTTCGGCCAATCGCGGCCCCCACTGGCCGCAGTTCGCCGTTCCAGGCCAATGGGGGTGGCGGGAAGCGGCGCGGGCGAGCGATGTGCTGGCCGCGGCTTCCTGCCACCCTCATTGGCCCAGGACGGCGAACCGCGCCCAGTGGGGGCCGCGATCGGCCAAACCTGCCGCGTCAGCAGGTAAATAAACTGGCCCGGCCCACCAGGGTGCTTACCCTGGCAAGCCGCGTGCCAAACATTGCCGACCCCTGTTCTATTGCCTTCAGGGGGCATTGGTCAGGCCTTTAATGTTTATTTTCTAAATTCAGCTACTTGGATTTACTTCTAATGCCTTTGAAGGAATCAAAACCTGGTGGGACGTCTTGGCCTTAGTATGCCTGCAGGGGCCCCCACGAGAATATAGTATTCTATAGTATAGCAACTTTTTTTTTATGGAAGGGGCCCCCGAAATTGCTTTGCCCCAGACCCCCTGAATCCTCTGGGCTGCCCTGCTTGGCCTTCACTTACAAGATATCTCCCTGCATGTCTCCCACAGAAAATGCCAATTTCTTCACTGGGAGGATCCTCAGATTTCACTTGTGTTCCAGGCAACACCTCCCCACCACAAAACTTTCAACCCTCTCAAAAATAATCGTGACAGGAGACAGCAAGGCTTTCATTCAATGATTTATTTTCCTGCTGTATCACAGTAACTAAGACAATATCTTGTCACCTAGCACCATGCCAATTGTTTCATTTAAAAAACAAGGGAAAACACACACATTTGATCCAGTTCCTACCTAATGCATATTAGCTTTCAGGAATTAATCAGACAAGGTGTTTGAATGTATATTGTACTAATTATGATTAATCTAATTTAGTAAGCCCTAATCAAAAAACACATCTTACCTCAATGGAAGACTGGGAGCTGGAAGGTAATGGGAAAGGAGTAACAGCCATTTGGTTAACTGCATCTCCATTTCTATGAAACATCAAAAGAGGCAGAATCAGTTTATTACACATTCATACACAAAGGCTAAACTATTTTTTGAGTTGGTCCTTGCCTCATGTATTATGATTTTTTTAGGTACAGTTTATTAGTAAAATATATCTTATGTAAAAACATTAGGAGCCTAGAAAAGCACACTTTTCACTTCTGTTTGCATCCCTTATTAGTTAATATATGATCATAGCATGTCACCTTGGAAATAATTTAATTTATGTTCAATAAGGTTCGAGCAATTCAATAGTATTAGAGAACAGTGAATGGGAAATGAAAATACAACCTTTAAAAAGTGTTTTGCATGGGTATTTATTTTCCTGCTCATAAAAACATTTCAAAATCCCTTCAGAAAAGGGTTCCTGGTATCTATCCATGCATGTCTAATGCACTCACCTATCAGGCATATAGGTATTACTATTGTATCTACTACCTGTGTTAGTAAAATAGCTTTTTCTTTTCAGTTCATATTTGCTGTATACATTTCTGAAAATCTGAAACAAACTTACCATTATTTTAATGAGGGGTGGGGAATCAGTTAATACAAAACACTAAATCCATTATGTATTAATGCATTGTTACTCAAAGATAATACTTAAATAATAATTTGAAGTATCTTTTTCCTCTTGGATGACTATGTGCTCCCAAAACAACTGACTACTTTGTGACTATCAAAGATGTTTTTATGGAAGGCTGACAGATATTCATGCTGCCTTGCTAGAGGATGTCTTGAGTGACATTCAAAATTGGCTGAAGAAATTAGGTAAACACCTTTGTGATCTTAATAAAACATAACCAAGGAGATTGTAGCTAATGCTGTTATATTGTTTTAAAGAAGTATTTGACATACAGGAAAAAAAGGGAGATTTCCAGTTTTGCTTTTAAAAAGCTGTACAAATGAAACAACAACAAAAATGTTTTTATTATTTATATTACAACAGTGCAGAGAGGCTCCAAACGAGATCAGGACCCCATTATGCTACGTGCTCCATAACCATAGCCTGTAAGCTCATTGGGACTGTTTAAATAGACAAGACAGATAAAAGGAAACATCATCATTCCCACTTTACAGACAGAGGATTGAGATTATGTGATATGACCAAGGTCACACAAGAAACCTGTGGTAGCTCCAGGAATTGAACCCAGATCTCCCACGTTCCAGTGTCTTAAGCACAAGATTTTCTTTCCTTTAATTACAGAAATAAGACAGACAAATGTACATTATAAAATCACTTTTAGAATGTAAATGTCTGGAGGAAAAACATGGGTATGGTTTGTCAATTATCCCTCAAAGGGTTAAACATGTAAATCCAGGATAGCCCGATTACTCAGACAGAAAGACAATGCTAGATCAACACCCCTCAGTAGAGCAGAAGATGGTGAACGCAATCATAGGCATCTGAACTGATAAATCCTACATGCAAAGGTTGGTGAATTCATTTACTTTATCTTCAACCAAGCAGCCATGCTGTTAAAAAAAAAAAAAAAAAAAGTCTCTATATTGATCATGATCACTTTTAGGCTCTCTCAGCCTCTCCTTCTGGCCATCCTCAAAGCTTCGCAGCACTCAGAAAATATGCTAATATCTGCGCTCCAATGACCAGTGTCACCAATTCATGCATGCAGGAGGCCATGCCAGAAATCTGACGTAAGGAGCAGCATCAGATTTTCTTTTCATCTTCACATCACGATTTCCAACCATGTATTACTGTACCAGTACAGCATATTAGGCAAGGACATTTCTTCCTGCTTTTGTTTTCACAATGGTACACTGCAATTACACGGCAGTTCTCACATATGAGAATTAATCAGCAAATCTAAGATGTCTAAGAAACCTAGCAATTTTTGCCTACTATTAATTCAGGTTATACAGCAGGGGTCAGCAACCTTTCGGAAGTGGTGTGCTGAGTCTTCATTTATTCACTCTAATTTAAGGTTTCGCGTGCCAGTAATACATTTTAACGTTTTTAGAAGATCTCTTTCTACAAGTCTATAATATATAACTAAACTATTGTTGTATGTAAAGAAAATAAGGTTTTTAAAATGTTTAAGAAGCTTCATTTAAAATTAAATTAAAATGCAGAGCCCCCCAGACCGGTGGCCAGGACCCAGGCAGTGTGAGTGCCACTGAAAATCAGCTCGTGTGCTGCCTTTGGCACGCATGCCATAGGTTGCCTACCTCTGTTATACAGCTTTCCCCCCTCCCCCCAGCAATGGATAAAGTCTTACATAAGCACTAATAGCATGAAAGTTAGCATAATCTACAGCTCATGATGCAAAATGTATAGCCTGATGGTAATGCATACATCTTAATCTTTGTGAGAAATGCTGTTATAACTCTAAAACATTGCTAAACATAAATCTTAATATCAATATTATAAAATTGTTTTTACTTACATAAAATAGTTTCTGCTGAACTTACATACACAATCATCAGGTTTACAAATGTATGTCATTTTAAACAGATGGTAATTTTTATTCCATATAATAAAAAATTACAATCATTCCGGGGGGGGGGGGGGGGAGGGGGGAAACAGGGTTGCAAAAAGTCACAATTTGTAATCTATCCCTGTTATAACTGTACAAATTCAAACACTTTAATACTTCTTCAACGGAGACTGCTTCAAAGTGGGAGCATATTTTAAAATCACAGTGCTAATAATAAATTGCTTTTTGCACTCCACTCCCAGAAATTTCCTTGATTAAAACAGGAATTTATTTAAAATTAAAATGAATTATCATCGTCTTTTGATGTTGGAGCAGATGCTTAGTGGTCTGAGCATCACGTTTGAATTGCAGTGGTTGCAAATGAAAATTCAGCACATGAGCCATTCGTTACTATGGTTACCACTAAGAAACCTGTTCTAAGATACCACTTCATGCAAAATATTGCCCAACATCAACTTGTGCATAGATTTCCTGGAAGCACATGTTCACATCTCATCAGGGTCGAGACAGTCCATTTTTTCAAGGTCAAAGCAACTTTCATGCAATTTACACACTATGCTCGTCTTGCCGATATAACCTAAAAAACTAAATGTCTCTCCATTTTGCAAGGATGTTAAACATCCCATAATTTTATGCCACTGTCCTTATTCCAACTCTCTTCCATAGTTTGTGTAGGATACTGCGTGCATATTGTCCACCCGATTGTTGAACTCACACCAAAGACGTGTCTGCATTTCAGTGGTGTTGTACGTCTATATGATGTGAAGCACTTTAGGATGGAAGGCTCCCCATGTTTTCACTTTAGTCAGAGATAAAAGAGTGCTGACTGGTTATGTCAATAGCAGTCACTATCTCATAGTGCTGAAGCGATAAGAAACTCAGTGCAAAGGATCAAGACAAGCCGGACTGAAGCCAATGCGTAAGTGGCAGAAAGCTTGCACTTTTGGCAAGGCCAGTTCTCTCCCACATGCCTGTTTGAGCAAGTTACCATACTTCCCTCCTCTTCACCACACTAAGTATAAACCATTAGACATTCCTCTCTCTAACAGGAAGCAAATCTGAATATATATATATTCACACACACGCATAATAGCAAAGAGTCACTAGAGGGACAGTTGTTAGACAGAAGTGGTCAGGCTGATAGAGGGGCATATTGCTTCTAACAACTGTCCCTCCAGTGACTCTTTGCTATTATGCATCAGCTTGAAAGATTTTTTCCTACTGCATTGGGAGATATACCTATCTCATAGAACTGGAAGGGACCCTGAAAGATCATCAAGTCCGGCCCTCTGCCTTCACTAGCAGGACCAAGTACTGATTTTTGCCCCAGATCCCTGAGTGGATAGAGCTCACAACCCCAGGTTTAGCAGGCCAATGCTCAAACCACTGAGCTATCCCTCCCCCGCTCATCCTTTCCCCTTTTTTTCCAGGCTACACTTAACTAGCTGCTTATTTTATGACAATCATTTAAAATGAACATTTAATCTGGGCTGCTGAGTAGGCTGGGTCATTGCAATCTTAAAAATAAGAGAATGAATGTCTTAACTTCCTGGACATATGGACTTGCTCATCATATATAAGTACCAAAACAGGAGAAGCCTAGGAGGAAGTTTAAAAAAAAAAAATATATGGGGCAATGGGAGAATTTCAAACCTGGAAATAAAGCGTTTGGCATCAGCCCATTTTTGATCTTTTCTGGAAAGCAAAGCCCGACAGAATCTCCTAACAAAAATACCTTAAAATATTTTAGATATCAGAGTAAAATTTCCACTACTCTTCCAGATTACTGTCAAGTAACATTTCAAAATTTGTCTGGCAAACTGCACCCATTGGGGGCTAAGGCTGGGTATTTCAAAAAAGCCTCAGGAAACTAGCTGCTTTATTCTTACTGAATTTCCAATGGGATTTGAGCACCTCTCTCTTCTAGGCTCCTTTAAAAATCCCAGCCAAGATAGTTATTGTTTCCAGTACTTGGGATTCACAAAGACAAGCCCCATTTGCCATACTAGCTAGAAAACAGCATTGCCCCCCACTCAATATGGTACAATGTTATTTAACAAACTAGAGGCAATGCTTGAATTGAGCTCTGCTTCCCAAAAAGATTATACTTTCTTTTTACAATGCTCAGGTGATTTTTAAAAAAAAAAACAACAACAACAAACTATGTTTACAGGCTGAATGTCTTCCAGTTTGTTATTGGAGAAAGCCAAGCAATAGCAAGGTGTGCTGAATCTAAATAAAAACCGCAGCGATAATACAACTATGAACTTTTCATGTGCTATTACAAGTTTATGTAACTAACTAACAAGGCTGTTGGGAAACAGTGCTGCATTAAGGCCTGCGTTTTGGAGTTTGGCCAGAAACAACTTGTTAACTTTATAGTGGAAAAGATCACAAATTAGCGTGAAAAACTTTCTAATACAATGGGACTTCTATGTTCCTCATTGCAATTACAGCAATTTGTCTAAACAGCAAAAGTTTCGGGAAGGGGCGGTAATGCAGTTTTTAACACTATCTGGAGGTGAGAAAATATC